TCCTCACTGCCATACATACTCGATTGTGATGCTAGTAATGTCGGAATTGGAGGAGTGTTGTCTCAGAAAGTGGGTGAAAACGAACATGTGTTGGCCGACTTCAGTAGGGGTCCTGAGTAAGACCAGAGAGGAACTACTGTGTAACATGAAGGGAATTCCTTGCTATAGTAAAGAGTCTGACATACTTCCATCCTTACCTCTATGGGCTAAGTTTACCATCATAACCCAGAGGGACAACTGGCACATTGGATCAGAAAAATAGACTTGTATAATTACGGTATTGAATACAGAGAAGGAAAATGTCATGGAAATGCTGATGGACTGAGCCGAAAAGCCTGCAAATATGACTGCAGATATTGCTGCAAAAGAGAGGTTGAACTAACCAGGTTCCATCTAGCTAAAGTCAAAGTGGCTGAAGGAGTTGATGATGATGAAGTGGAACCAGGTATAGATATTAAAGCAGAGGAGGAGAAAGACCCACATTTGAAACCAATAATTGATTTTCTACAAGCAAGTGTTTTGCGCCCTGTTTGGGAGAAGGTGTCTAGCTTAAGCCCTGTGACTATGGAATATTGGGCACAATAGAACCAGTTGAAGCTTGAAGATGGTAGTTTTGTCTGGAGATGGGAGACTGCAGATATTGAGTCACATACGGCAGCGATTTGACTGGATAGGTATTAAGCAAGATGTGGAAGAATGGTGCAGGATCTGCAGTACATGTTGTGCTAAAAGGGAACCCAAGCATAAGGGGCGTGCTCCAATGAAGTTACATCAATTTGGTGCATCCATGGAAAGAGTAGCCATTTACATTGCTGGTCCTTTGTCCCAAACTCGTGCTGGAAACAGTTACTTTTGTGTGGTGATGGATTGTTTCACCAAGTGACCATGGCATATGCAATACCAAATCAGGAAGCTACAACTGTAGCTTTGGCTGTTGGTGATTTCTTCATCAGTTTTGGTATGCCCTATGAACTGCATTCTGATCAAGGTTGTAATTTTGAATCAGCTGTGTTCCATGAATTGAGCAAGTTGTTTGGCATACGAAAGACCAGGACAACGCCACTTCACCCACAGTCTGATGGGATGTGGTAGAAAAGTACAATTGGACATTGATACAGCAATTGGCAAAGTTTTGTAATAGCCTTCAAGATGACTGGGATGTCTTACTCACTCCACTGTTGATGGCCTATAGAACAGAAGAGCATGAAGCCACTGGATACACTCCAGCAAAGCTGATGTTTGGTCGGGAGCTTCGGTTTGCAGTCGACCCGATAACAGGACGCCCACCTTATGAAGAGTTGCCTGAAAATGTGTCAGTGTTCGTGAAAGTGTTATCTGAAAGGATGGATGATATTCATCATCAAGTGCATTCAAACTTAAAATCATCTGCTGATTCCATGAAGGTATGTTATGATAAGAGATCTACTGAAGTCAGCTTTTTACCAGGAGAAAATGTTTGTGTGGTTGTATAATCCCAGGAAGGCCAAAGGGAAGTCTCCTAAGTTGTCTTCTATGTGGGAAGGCCCATATGACATAGTGGATCATCTCTCAGACGTGACTTTTCGAATAAAATGTGGTCGGTAAGGTAAGGTGGTGCACGCCAACAAGCTTTGGAGTTATCACGGTCCAGGTCATTTCAATTGGAACGAAGTAAACAATATAACAAATGACGCTGCTGAAGACGTGTCACCTAAAAAAGCCACTGTCGAAGAAGAAATTCTACCCGGTTTTGAGAAGGAAGACAGTGAAGCCATTAATAAAGTTACTACCACTGATGTGAGTGTTACCGATCATGGGACATTTCCTGATGGAGCAGGGGAACCCCACATGAAGCAGAAGTCAATCAGACGGAGACTAATACGGAGGAAGAAACGTCCTGTAAAATTAAGAGACTTTGTTGTATTTGTAAATTCTGTACATTTAATTAATTTATTGTTAATTATCTATTGGGTTGATGTAAGTGCCTATTGTTCAGGATGAACAATACTAAGGAAGGGGCAGTGTTACGACAGCGGAAGTCACGTGAGGCTGGCAGCATTTGTGGTGAATTTCTCGAATAATCTGGGAACTCTGCGAAAGTTGGAGACGCCTCTTTGTTAGTATATAAGCCTGGCAGAGAAAAGCCAGGGGATGATAAAGCGAACA